TTCCAGGACAGCCAATGCTCTGTTTAACAGGAACAAAGAAGAAAAAAACAACTGATAACTGACGTCAACACTTCCCGTAAGACAACAGTAATTATGACAGCTAGATATGTGTACAAATTCATGACTACATCACTCCGAATAAAGTAGAAAACTTCTAGAACATTTCCTTAAATGTTGCCAATTAATCATTTTGACCAGCAACAAAGGCTGAACAAGAGAGAGAAGGCCTGCTAAGAAACAAGGCTGAAATGTCTGAACTACGACGCCCAAAAAGACACATAGGCACATAGCTGACATTGTTAAAAATGGATCCTCACATAAGTTGCAGACCTTAGTATAAAACATAAAATGAATTTGAAAGTGATCATACACTTATTGAAACTAAAGTGGAATGGAACCTTTTTGTTCCTAGATTTAATAAAATGCACCAGGCCCCACAGGTTTCTTTCACTCAAATACTTCTGAAACAATTACTTTATCAATCTTAAGATATTTGTCTCCTCCATTTCAAATACAAAATTCCCAAACCAAGAACTATTCATAAATTGTTGAATAGTCTTTGTCATGCAAATCAAACACTTGCAGCCTTTGGTGGAAAAGGGATATCTCTATGAAGTTTAATTAATTTGTTTCCTGGGAACATATTTTTTTTTACTCTCAGAAACACCTGAGTGCTAACTGATAATAAAATTGTCATTTTGTGTCTTTCTCAGTTTGGATAGAATTCTTACCAGTGCCTCAGTCCTTCAAAGGAAAATAAAATACTTTGGTTATATAACCAGGTGAACTCTGAATTTTCTTCCAATTCTAAATGTAGATAATAAATATGTATATCAATACTTGCAATATGGTTTTGCTTTAAGCCTCAGATCCTGCAATTATACATGTTTATTTTAGATTTTATGCTTCATCTTGCAACAAATCTAAAGGGACTTAAGAAAAGAATGTTTATTCTCCGCACGAACCTCTTAATTCAGCTTCTTAAATGTTTACATGCTTAATTTCATCAATCAGACATTTAGAATGAAATGAAAGCCAATCCTCCAGAAAATTCACTTCCCAGGTGGTGTTGGGATGAAATGTTCTGGAAGTAATATAAATTACCTATCTGAGAGTCACTGAAGAGGACAATGCCTTTTACAGATAAAACAAAAATTTCTAATTCCTTCAGATTAAATTTTAACTGTAATTTTATATATATATATATGAATAACTATGAAACTGTAATATTTATAAGAAAAGAAACTGAAAATGGTGATATTCTTAAATATATGTAACCAGAATCTACAAACATGGAAAAAGAGGAGATCCACTTTAAGAGAAGAGACAATAGATAAATGCAGAGCCAGTGACATTTGAGATTTTGTAACACATTTCTTTGTAGGAAACAGCATAAGCAGGCTATACTTGCATATGTTTGTGTATTTATATTTATAGCATTATAAATCAAATAAAAAGAGGCTATCAGTTTCAGAGTTGGGCAGTAGGAGGATTTCACAAAAGGGCAGCTTGGAGGAGCTACAGACACAGAAGGGAATGGAAAAGTGGTGTAATTCCATTCCACTTAAAATTATATTTAAAACGAAAAAATGCATTGCCAATGTATATAAGAAGCTCTTTGTACTGCAATCAGGTTTATTTTAGATTAACAGTGGTTATAAATAGCTTTCTATTTTATTAGAAAATAAACACACATAGAATGTTTAATTTGTGAACTACTCATGTCTCTACTATAATGTAGCAGATAAATTAAGTTCTAGTTAAACATAATAAACAGAAATAGTTGAAAAAAATTTCAGTCCTCAAAAGTGTGCTATTGAAAATCAAAGCATTGAGAGTTCTTTTAAGCTATGCCGATGATTAATAAACCACTAAAATATTATCTCTTACCATGTTGAGGGGTGGCAGAAAATAATTGTATTTAAATTTTTCTTCCCTTCTTCATCATTTAGCTCATCGACTAATTTTGTCATACACTAGTTCCACAAGTGAATGTTCAGGTACATCTCTCAAGAAGTGACATACTCAGTATTGGATTTGTGAGCATTTTTATGGAAGAGTGAATGATATGAAAGAAGATTAATATCAGCTCTTCCGGATTTAGGGAATAGTCAATTTGCCTTCAAGTCAGTGAATTTTAACAAAAATGATTCATCCTGAAGGCATTTATGCAAACATATATTATTCATTTGCACTAAAGTAATGTTTAAAATAAGTATTTAGAATGTTTTCCTTCGCAGTTTTAAAGAATTGATTTTCTTTCACAATATTCATTTTTATAAGTAAGTGAAAACATTTATTTTTGTTTTGTTTTCGGGGAGGAAAGGGTTTATTTAAATTTTTAGCTCTCAATTATACCACCTCAAGTGGGAGGTCAGTAACTTCCCTCTGAAGCAGAGGCCATGGACCAACACCTCATACTGGTTTCCACCTTACAGATTTCTGAGCCTGCTCTCTTTTTCTTCTTCTTCCTCTGGTTCCACTTATTATTTATTATTTGTCTAATTTTTAAAATATATTATTTCATACAGTATATTCTGTTTATAGTTCTTTCCAGATCCTTTCTACTTACTTCCTCTTTCACTCAAATCCACAGCCTTTCTTTCTCATTAGAAAATAAACAGCCACCTAAAAAAAAAAAGATAAAAATAATATACAAGCAACCAAACAGAAGAAAAAGAGCCAAAGAAAAAGCATAAGAAACACATATAGATGCAGACATACATATTTGTATACACAAGAGTCTTATGTAATCACAAAATTAGAAATCATAATGTATACACAAAGGACCTGCAAGATAAGGGAAAAAATAACTCTAAAAATATAATTGAGTTCATTTTGTATTGGCCATCTCCTGATGGACTTGGGATCTGTCTTCAAGAATGGATTGTACAGAAAGTGACTTTGTTGGAGAAAACCAATATATCATTTGCGAGTAGTTATCAAATGGAGATACATTCTAGGTTGGGAATGTGGCCTTGTATTCACATTCACTGCCGTTACTGGGCACTCCATCACGAATAGACCCATGCAGGCCATGTGCATATTGCCATAGTCTCTGTGATTTCCTTTGATCATCAGTCCTGTGGTAATTTAGAAGCTTCTGCCCACCCCCCACCTTGGTTTCCTCCATTCTCTGACCTTACAATCTATTTGCCTGTAGTGGGTAGCCATTCCAGCTTGGTTCTGGAAGTTCCAACCCCCATTGAGACTCTGGCAACTGTCACACCTACGAGGCGGGGGCGAGGGGAGGCGCCTGGGGACCCGAGAGCTGGATGGGCCAGCGCTCTCTCTGGGCGCTCTCGGTGCCGGGATGCTGACCGGTGGAGACTGACTGTGCAGAGCTCCGGAGAACACCACTGGACTGCATTACACCTTCCCCAGACCCTGCGACCTACCCATTACTTAATTTGTGAGTTACGTCATTAAATAAATATCCTTTTAACTACGTGGAGTGGCCAAAATAATTTCTCCAATATTTGCCTCTTCTTATTTGTCAGGGGTCCTTGAGCCCTGGGTAAAGGGATTTGATAGAGATATCCCATTTAGCACTGATGGTGCAAATGTCTCTCACTCTCTGCATATTGACTGGTTATGGGATCTGAATTTGTTACTATAAAAGCAGGACGAGGCTTCTTTGGTGATGGTTGAGCAAGCTACTGATCTGAGCATAACAGACATCATTAGGAGTCCTTATATTGCTATATTCCTTTAGCTGAACAGTAGTCTTTGGTTTTTCCCCATATCCCTGTACTTTCTAATCTGAGGTTCTGGAATCCATCAGTGTTTTGGATTGGTTTGTTTATTTAAGGGTCACACATCTCATGGAGTGAGCTGTAGGCAAAATCAGATCCTCATTGATTATTCCCACAAGCTTTGAACCAATACTACACCAATGACTCTAGCAGGTAGGTTGTGACTATAGATCAAACAGTTTGTAGCTTGGCTGGTCTTTATTTTTCCTGTTTAGTAGTGTGCTGTGCATCTTTCAGTACAATAAATACTAGGCAGTAATGTTGATAAGTAAAATAAGACATCACAATGTGAGAACTAGAAAATGTGAGGTGAGAAGTAACTTTGGTGAGTGTGAAGAGGAGGCTGAAAATTACTATTACAAAGTATAAATTTTAAAATGAAAATTGGCAACAGTATTAATGTGATGCTTAGTAAATTAAGAGGGCATCTTGACAAGCTTAGAATACCTACAAGCAAAATTAGAAATGTAAGCTGAGCTAAGGTACAAGTAGTAGAAATCAAATTAGATTCAAGAAAATATATTTAATTAAACAAGTTTGGAAAATATTAATAGATTTGTAGGAAACAGAAAGGAGAAATGCAAAAGAAATAGGAATATGGCTAAAAATCCAGTTGCATTGATAATGGATTCATATACAAATAAACTGAATCATTTGATAGATTCACATTGTCACATCAGATAATATAAATCTCCCTAATGGTATGTTATCTACAAAACATACTCTAAATACATTAAAATTCCAAATTCTAAGTGTAAGTTATCATATTCTGTACCCTTGTTTTACTTCATTTTGCTTAATTTTTCTAGGATCTATTAACTTCAATTTGTTCCTTTGTTCATTAAATCCTGACAGAATAATATTCTTTTTAATTTTGTACAGTAATATTGTTTCAGGGTAGCTGTCCATTGTTTATATGTTGTACTAGGTACTTGGTGCTGTGACTACATATGTGACAAAATGAATTTCAGGAAGGTTTGATTTTGGTTTGTGATTTTAGGATATAGTGCATCATGGCAGGGAAATGTGGTGATATTTTATTTGTTCTTTAATAAATAAAGCTTGCCTGGAGATCAGAGGAAAAAGGACAGCCATTATAAGTAAACAAAGAAGTCAGGCAGTGGTAGTACATGCCCTTAATCCTATCACTTAGCAGGCAGGATCTCCGTGTGTTCAAAGCTGCACTGGAAACAGAGCCAGGTATGGTGGCACACTCCTTAATTCCAACACTAGTTAACCATGGAGGTCTGTACAGACAGACAGGAAGTGGCAGAGCTATGTAGGAAAAGTAAGTGATGTAGCTGAACTGAGAGAACAAATCAGATGGCAGAACAGCAAGGCATACAGACGTAGGTAGACACGAAGTAACTCGCATTTGGAAGCTGCAGAGTTGGTGAGGTGAGGTTGGCTGGTGGCTTTCCCTAATTCTCTGATCCCTTTAAGGCTTTCACCCCTATATTTGGCTCCATGTTTTTTATTTACTAAGACGATTTAGAAATTCAGCTACAGGGAAAGCAGAATGCCAGGCTATTAAAATACCTGGTCAAACTGTGTCTGAAGACAGGAAGTGGAAAAAGTGAATGATGTTTCTAAGTTTTCATTTTACCTTTTCATTTAGTCTGAGACATTAGCCCATGAAAAAGTGCCACTTGCATTCAGCGTGAGTCTTTGAAGCTTAGATAATTCTCTCTGGAAATACCCTCATAGACATGTCAATTAGGTTTGTCTACTAGGTAATTCTAAGTCTTGTCATGTTGACAATGAGATTTACCATCACAGATGTTTTGCATAAATATATTCTCATCATTTTTACCAGAATTCTTTCAAGCCAGACACTGTATTAAATTTATCTACCAATTGGAAATAAATAAGATTTTGAGGTTTATCTGGGTAGTGGTGGTCGTGGTGTGTGTGTGTGTGTGTGTGTGTGTGTGTGTCTGTGCATGCACACACATGCAGGAGTAATTCATTCTCTAGATTTTTCTTTTAACTGGATTAGATGCCACTGTAATTTAATAACAAAACAAATATTGAAATGTAAGTAACATGCTATCATTGTGGTTATTTTATACCTTTAACAAGCTGAATGACTATGGATTTTAACAGCACATAAGATCAATCAGTGAGATATTCCCCAGGCTGGTCACTTAGCAGGGTCCAAGGTAATGTTGTATTTTGTATTCTTTTTAGAAAACCACATGCTCAAGCAGAGTGGAAAGAACATTTTGAAACTGTGACAACAATATAACAAAACCCTGGCTCACCTTTCAGTATCAGACGGAAAGCAGCTTAAAATATGATATTTCCCTTTAAAAATGAAGAGAAGTCTTTAGCGAGTAGAATGAACCAGACAGAAATTGTTCTCAGAAATTGGAAGTCTTTGTAGTTTTCAGATAGAATAAACCTAATTCCTGAAGGAGCAGCTAAGTGACAGCAGCCACCTTTTGTTCATTACATTACCAGAGGGTCCCTGCTGAAAGACAATTGCTGCAATCCTGAGCTTGCATTGTTATCAGGAGAAAAGAGGAAGGAGAGATGAAGCTCTTAGCAGTAATGATGATCATCCCAACAGATGAGACGAAAAGCTAAGCAGCAGCAAGATGTTCTGTTTGATGAGAAGGATTATGATAAAAGACAGAACACATCAGGGCTTTTATAAATCTGATAGGGAGATTACTTGAACTATAGAAAATAATGGAGCGTTAGGCACCATAATACCTCTACTGCTTGATTTATGGAGACTTAGAGGGTAATGAAAATCATTCTTCTCACAGTCCACCTCAAGTTAAGTAAGATGTGGTATTGAATTTTAATTTTTGACTAAAAACACCTAAAAGTTAAATAATAAAAAGATGTCATTTCTTCAAATATGTGTGTGTGGGGGGGTCTCCTGGTATGTGAATGCAATATATTACACAAATTTTGTGCCATTCCCTTCAATTCATAGTTAACTGACAAAGTGGTTATCAAATACTGATACATACATAGCATTCAGCCTTTTTGACTTAGTCAGTGAAAATGATTCGAAATATTTTCTAAGCATAAATGCAAAGCTTTCTCAGCAGTGAGTCCCACCTCAAGATTATATTCCTTTATTGCAGAGAGGCTACACCCTCATTGGAAATAATCATTTTGTGGATGTTGATTGCCTTCTGCCAGTGATTACAGCAATAACAATTCCTAAGTTTCTTGGTAAACTGATTAACCTTCTCTGAGATTCACTTCCATGTCTCTATCTTTTATGTCTCAAGTAGATAACGTGATGTCTGATATGGGATTCATGCTCAATGAAGTTCATTTATTATAAATTCATTTGGATTGATGATTTTATATGCTGGATTACTGCCAATCTTAAATTTGAGAAGTTGATTCCTACAGGGATTTCAAGATCTAGAAATTAAACCCACAGTCTTGGGGTTCATTAGCCTTCTCTAAGATTCTAGAAAAGGTTATAGAACACAGGAAAAAGGTGTAGAGTACAAAGACACTAATCAAAGACAGCATGAAGTAACCTTTATTGTATTTACATAATACCTCCTAGGCACACTCTGTAAAACTAATGATGAATTAATTTTTTTTATTCTGAACTCAATACAAATTTTCCATAAACAAAGTACCACATGTAAAACAAACACAGTGCTTCACAGTTGATATGATATTAATTAGAATGATATTTAAATATTTAGAAATATCCTTTGGTTTTCTTCAAAGTATTTTTGAAAAGGACCATTTAATATTTACAGGGTAGAGTGATATATTACATTGAATCCTGTTTGTTGGAATCTATTTTATTTAGCAGATGAAAAAACAATGTAGTGTTTTACTTAAAAGTTCTGTTACCAAAATCAGCTTGGTAAGGAAAGGTTTTATTTCATCATACATTTTCACATCACAGCCTGTCACTGATGGATGAACTTGACAGAAGAACATGGAAGCAGAAATTGATGGGCATTTCAAGCTTAAGTACTGTATTTAGACCATCTCCCCTCATCCTCTCAACCCTCAGCTGATTCTGTGTCTCCATCCCTCTTTTATTTGTGACCCTCTCTTTTGAAATTATCATTGTTTATATATATATAGTGTGTGTGTGTGTGTGTATTATAATATATATGTACACACACATAACCTGCTGATTCCTCAATTATTATTGATCAAATGCATATATGTTTAGGTAACATAAACAAGAACTACATACACATAGTATGAACACTAGTTGAACATTAAGATGTGATGGTGGAAATCTAACATGGACCTACCCATAGAGGAAAACCAAAAGGCAGTTACTGGGTATTAAGAGAGGAAGAATCAGTTCTCTCCAGAGGTGAGTGCCATGATAATACAATCCATGCTTAAGTGGTCTTATATTTTTTAATGGCTTTATAAGGAGAAAAAATTAAGAAATAATGTAATACTGGTTATAAATGGTTAGGGTAATGATGCCCTTGGATGAAATGGGTTACAAATTAGAAATAGCAATTTATTTTTTTTCTTTTTAAATTTTGGATACCAGTATCCAATGCTGTAGTATTGCACATTCATATAACTTTCATATAATCTATGAAAATTTCATAATGATCTAATTATACAATAATACAAGGTATGAAAATAAAACCCTGATCTACCAAGGGTACAAATTTAATTTCCCAAAGATGATCTAAACAAATGCCAGTGTTTATAAAAACATGTTTATTTTTATATGGTTTAAATTAATATATAGTAGGAAAAAATTATATGATCTTAATATTCAAAACATCATTGCTAGATTCTATTCCATACAAATTTATATCTCAATAGATAATCACTATGAGGATTACATTGTTAATGAGCAAACCCAAAGATTACCTTCATATAGAACATAAATGTGTTTTAGGCTTCTTTTTCCCCTCCTAGTCATGAATGAACCTGAACTCATGTAGGTTTCTTTTATTAGAGAAGGAATACAAATATTAGCATCATTGAATAGGGAATAGTCACAATTTCCACACTCTGTGCTCATTGAGATCAGATTGCCTTTCTAAATATAACTTTTAAATGAAAGCTAGAAGTAGTTTCAAAGTCTACGAGTAGTTTAAAAATTACTTTATAATTTGCTACAACTTCAAGGTAGATAAAGTATATGTGGTCAGATGCGGTGTAAATTGTGATGTATAAGTTGTGATAAATGCTATCTTAATCTTTTCACCTCGTTGCTAGAAGCAGTTAATGTTTATTAATTTTCCCCTTGACAGTTTAGGTGCATCAGTAGAGAATGGTGATGTTTTTCATTTTCTAATTTTGAGATACCCATCAATGGCCATTGCCATATTAATGATTCTAACACAATCACAATGTCTTTGATGAACAATGTGGTAAAATTGACTTTGTCATTAGCACCAACAGTTAAGACTGTTCATACTACATTGATTTTATGACTTTTCTAAAAAGCAACTAAATCTTGTCAATTAAGCCAACACTAGTGGAAGCATGAATTTTTCATTAAAATGGTACAAATGGATTTCATTTGCATTTATAGTTTATGAAATATGACAAGAAGTTCTATAACATATTTGGTAAAACTTACTCAAATGAGTTTTGTAAATAAATATGCACATACAAACTTTCTAAGTGAGCTGAGCATTTTGCACATGATATTTCTAAAACATTTTGGAAAACAAATATGTAGTTCATGTTACAATTTGCTTTTTATCATCTTTTGCAGTTGTTTATTTTACAATATAATTTTAGCATTTTTACCCATTTTCCTTTCCTTTTTATCTAATTCACGTTTCCTGTTCTAATTAACTGTGTGTGTGTGTGTGTGTGTGTGTGTGTGTGTGTGTGTGTGTGTGTGTCTCACTCAGTAACCTAGGACAAACTGAAACCTTTGGCAATACATAGCTTTCAAGTGCTAGAATTGCAGGCATGGACCATGACATTTTGCTTTTAATTTTATTGTAACAGAGCCTGATATATAAACATGTAAAAATATTTTTCCATTTTTATTATTTCCATAGTATGTTTCTTACTTATTTCCAAGGAGTCGTGCCTTATATCTGCTGGCAATTTATCTTTTTCAATAGGGATCAAATGTGTTGAATCAAATTTAAAGTAATGCCTATCAAAATAAATCCTTATATAGTTTCAAAGAAAACGAAGTGCTCATTAAACAAAGTGATAGCGAGAAGTTGAGCATTTCTAATCTCTTGCCAGTATATCTGTTGACTTCAGTGGCTCAAAAGCAGTCTAATTCCCAACAGCCAGTGCTTGGGAGCAGTTTTTCTGAAATGCACAAAAAGACTATGGTTTTGTGAAACATTCGTATCCTCCCTCAGGAATAAGGTCACATTCTGAAACAAAATAAATACATTAAGTTGTGATACAACTCTCAAGAAAGTAAAAACTTATCAAAGAGTGATTTCATTTTCAAAAAAGTAGGATGATGGTTGTTTTAAAAAAGAAAATCATCAGGATGTAGAACACCATGAAAAAAATCAATGTGATATTGAAAATTTCAATTAAAATATTCAATTGTTTCATGTATACACCTTAATAGGAGCAATGTGGAAGAGCTGGCATGATTTTAAAAAAAAGAAGAAAAAAACAATCAAATAACTCTTCATGTGTTTGTGCCAGTTGCTATGGTGGATCTGATTGGCAAGAATTTGACTCAGACTCACCAGTATGCTAAATCATACCCTAATCTCTTCCACCAGGAGCCTCATTCTCATGCAGCTAGTTCTAATTAAATATCATTTGTTTTTTTTATGCAAAATGGGTGAGAAGGTTCAGATACCTTTTTTTGGGTTTGTTTGTTTTTCAGTGCTACTTATCATTCAGAAACAGAATTGGAAAGCTTTGATGCACCACACAAGGATTAGTCTTTGCACTGTTTACATGTAAAGCTAGACATGATCACTTATTCTATGATAAAGGACTGACAGCACAAAGCTTCCTTTCCTAATCAATCTGCACAGCCCTTAGGGAATGGGAGCATGGAAAGACTTGCAATGAAGGAAACAGAATAGTTCTTAATGCATCTGTAAGGAAAAGGAAAAAGGAACAAAAACTAGCTTGTTGGAATTATTTAAACGTATGGTTGTATAATATTTTAACCTTTTATATATACCTATTAAAGCTGTTAAATATTGAATTCAAAAATTACTTTAAAATTTAAAAGATGTTTTGCAAATATTGCACTTATAATTAGTTATATACAATGTCAAAATATTTGCACAAAGAATCCTAACCAAAATTAACACAAAAATAGACACCAATTGAATTCTTTACTCTGTGATCATTAGTGACTCAGTTGACAGAATAATTTACTTAAGTAATTCAAAACATTTTTATTTTAAAATTTCACAATAGGTATGTAGTACAAATATAAGAGTGTGTTGGTCATTTTTGAATGAATGTGTTCCTGTAGTCTTAGAAATCTGGAGGCTGAAAGAGGAAGTTATAATATCTTGAGTAGTATTCATTCCCAAATACTTACATTTAGTTAGATTTCTTGTACATACTACCTATTATTAAAATAGTTTAAAGCAATCAACACATACATTTAACATACATCTCAATATATTATATATTGTAATATAGACCTCCATACAAATAATTTGAGGGCATTTTATAAATTAAAATTCAATGTTTCAACACAAAATTTTAACGTGGGAAATCAAATACTTCCACCATGTTTCTATATGTTGGGAACATTTATTGGCCACCAATAACTAGTAAGAGTCATTTCATTGAGATGCTTGGGTCCCATGGTCCTTCATGGTGCTTTTCGCACAGCAGAAAACAATTTCCCCCCATAAATGAAGTTGTTTGCTCTTTCAGATAAAGTGCAAAGAACATGCTGTCAATTTTATTGTACGTACTTTGTGTTTTTTTTCCATGTACATAGTCATTCTTTGGTCATGTGGCTCTACAGTCTCGCTGAACAGACATCTGGTAAATAAAACACACAGGCTAAATAGGTTTCAGGAAGAATATATTTTTTCAAATTCACCTCATGTATTTTGTGGTCTTCTCTCATAACTGAGAGAGATAATACCTTACACAGACCACTGAATTCCAATGTAGATCATATATGTGCACCCTTCCATTTGTTGTGTTTTATATTTTAGTTGGTATTTTAACATCAATGAGACATTCCATATTTTTCATTTTTGACAATATAATGAATTATATTAAGGCTATATCCAATCCTCCTTATCTGCTTTTATCACATCTCCTCTTCCCTTCTTACCTGCATGGCTTTTATAACCACTTATGTCTTGTGAGATTAATCAGCTGTGTGTACATGATTGCAAAGACCACATACTATACAGAAGACAGCATTTCGCAGCCCTTGCCTTAGTCACTCATTTTTAGTGATGTGAAGAGACACACCATGACCAAAGGAACTTATAAAATGAAGCATATAATTGGGGGGCGGGGTTTGGAGGTTGAGTCAATAATCATCGTAGCAGAGAGCAAAGCAGCAGGCAGGATGGCAGGCATGATGCTGGTTCAGTAGCTGTGAGCTAACATCTTATCTGTAAGTTGTAGGCAGGGAGAAAGAGATAGACAGAGAGACAGAAAGAGAGAGACTGGGCAAGATGTGGGCCTTTAAAACTCCAAAGCCCATCCCCAGTGGCACATAACTCCAGTAATACGGCTATACCTCTTAATCCTTCCCAAAACAGGTCCACCAAGCAGGGACCAAACATTGAAATACATGATTTCATAGGATTCATTCTCAATCAAACCACAAAGCGTGCTTTCTCATTCTCCTCTTCTTGATCTTTCTGCTCCCTGGGGCACAACCTGGACCCATGTTGGATTATGTCACCAGTGTTCACTATACATCCACATTTGTATAAACTAAAAAGTACTAGAAAGGAAAATTGAGGAAGGATAAGAGATTGTATGAGTTATATATCTAAATATGAATACAAAATGATTGACTACATGCCCACTTAGGATAACATCTCTAAAAGACTGCCCCAAGCCTATAACTTCTACTATCAAAGGCTTTTTAGCAGTTTTCTAGTAAAAGGTATGTTTTCCCACATATTTCAATATAGGACACATAAAACTGGAACTGCATTGGAAGCTTCTCTGATGCTACCTGTACTTCATAGTACACGAATGCTATGATGCCTGCTAGAAATGAAATAGCAACAGTATTACCCTACTTTTAACTTTGCTTCTTTCAATCCAGACTTGACAGGTAAGATATGCCCACCAACACAATGATGGTACGTGTGTTTGAGCAATCAACATCTGCTTTCTCTTGAATTCAATACATTTAATTTTATGTTCAGTTATTTGCTTCTGTCCTACATTTATGTGTTGAGATTAGTGAATTTTGATGATATTTTTATGACTATCTTTTACAAAACAAGCATATATTGAAGTGTTACTGGCCTACAAAAACTGCACAAGTGTTAGCTAGCAGATTGTTAATTTTGCTAAAAAAGTATGAACTCATGAAACAATACAATTGGGAAAAATGAACACATTTGTTCATTAATGTTTACTTACACCTCCTTGTGAACTCGTCCTTACATCCTTTCACAGTTAGTAACCACTAAGCAAACACTTACCTACTATTTTATATACTTTTTCTGATCTTTGTCAGAACAAGTATTTCTGCATTTTCATTGGAAAAATAAATGTTATCTAGTAAAGAGTACATTCTCCAAATTAAGCTACTGACTTTGAAAAAGGAATCATAAGCTTTGAAAAAATTATTTCAAAAACATATTCAATATCTTTGTAATCTTAAATAAAATTATGAAACACTTTATTGGACTAATAAAGAGGTGAATGGCCAATAGCTAGGCAGGGGTTGGATAGATGGAGCTGCCAGTCAGAGAGAATAAATAGGAAGAGAAATCTAGGGTCAAAGGAGAAAGACAAGAGCTGGGAGCAAGAAAAAGGACAGAAAGAGGAGGCTGCCACAGGCCAGCTACCCAGCCACACAACTAGCCACAGAGTCAGAAAGGGAGAAAGATATATAAAATAATGAAAGGTAAAAAATCCAGAAGCAAAATGTAGAAGAGAAATGGATTAATTTAAGTTATAAAGCAGCTAGGAAATAGCCAAGGCCCACCATTCATAAGTAAAAATAAGTCTTCATGTATTTATTTGGGAGTTGCCATAAAGTCCATTTGGACTTGTTCAGTTATCTAATAATAAGATTAAACATCATGAGTGTATTAAGGTGTGTTTGCCCTAAAATTAAATTTGACACAGAATGATTTTGTCCTGTTTCATGCTTTGTATTTATTTATGTTTGTATATTTTATGTGCTTGTATTTCATGTATATATGTATGTATTTCATATATATGTATTTCATACACACACACACACACACACACACACACACACACACACACATACATAAAGGTATTCTAGAAGGAAGAAGAGAGCATGCGATCCCTGGAGCTTGAATACAGGTGGTTGTGAGATGCCTGATAAGAGTGCTGGGAACCACACCCAGTAACCTCTCCAGGAACCGTAAGTGCTCTTAAGCACTGAGCCTAATTCCAAGTGTTACAAAGCTTCTCTTATTTGAAAAATATTCCCTAACCCTTGTTTTTATTCAGGTACTTTAGCTTATGAAATTCCTTACACTATTTTATAAAGAAAAAAATAAAACACTGATACAACCTAATTTTCAATACACAGAGAATACATCTTATCCTAGTGTAAAGTATTACAAATTCACTTTTTAGGAGATTTCTTGATGTACCTTCACAATAATTCCAAGGGTTTGTGTTCTTTAATAAAGACATAATCCAGAAGATTAGCTATCACTAAAATCAACCAAGAAAGCCAATTATCTGTGGGTCTAGAATTTGCACTGATTTGAAGACTTTAATTAGAATAAGTAGAGGAATATCCATCTAATATGGGATATAATCAGCAGTCACATCAGTGTAGCATGAATCTTAAAAGTTCTTATTAATAAAAATAAACCTGGAAGCCAGGTATTGGGATGAATGCTGGAAGATCAGAGAAGCAGAACAAGCCACAGCCACCTCACATCACCAATTCCTC